GTGTGTTCGTGTGTTAGTGTGTGTGTGGTGTGTGTGTGTGTGTTGTGTGTGTGTGTTGTGTGTGTGTGTGTGTGTGTGTGTTGTTTACTGAATTTGAAACAGCCATCAAATAAAAAAAAGGGGGGTGGGATTTCAATTCATGCTGAGAATCCAAGAAAATTACAAAATAAGGTTGATATGATAGGTGTGTTAGGAAAGAAAAAAAAAAAGGCCAACTGCAACAGTCCTCTTAAGAAAATACAAATAAAAAACAGCATTCATTATCACTCCAGCAGAGCAGTGGGAGCTACAGTACATGTACAAAACAGTAGCATCCAAATTCAACTAGAATGACCAAGAGTGAGCACAAGTGCACATTCAAAGCAGAGAAGCAAGTCTTCGGCTAAGGAAATAGTAGGAGCAAACTTGAACCATATGTACAAACTGAAGGACAGAATGAAGAGGTGAGACAGTCAAAACTGTGATTTGCTGTCTGAAAACCTTACGTGTTTCAAGATTATAAAGGTTATGAAAAGAACATAAGTCTGATCTCCAGAATCTAATTTCAGTATGACTACAGCAATGAATGTGAATTCGTACTGCACTCTATCCCAGGTAAAAGTGAACCAATTTGTTTTCAACAAATTCAATCTACTATGACATGCATCTTTCATAGTAACCATGTGATGTTTCCATGAGTCAACAACCAAAGCAGCAGATGAATTTCACAGCTTGGCAAGCTAAATATCAAAGAACAATACAGGGATAGCTAGGAGTACATAATTATAGGGAGCCATGTGAATAGTTATAGAACTAGTTTTGGATACAGAGAACTTAGAGTTATACAGTGGAACTTTGACTTACGAGTGTCCCAACATACAAGTTTTTCAAGATGCGAGCCGTTACTCGGTTGATTTTTTGCTATGAGTTACTAGCCAACATCCGAGTTATGACCAAGCTTCCCCAGTTTCCCCCTCAACCCACACACCTCACTTATTTATCTGATTTCATTCTTTAATTTCATGGACATCATTCTCATTCTTCTCAGCATTGTCCTCTGCACTTACTTTCTTAGGACCTATGGTTAGAAGACAGAAATTTGGCAAAATAACTGCACAAAATGCAAGCAAAACACAAGAGGAATACTTCCACGGTGAGGTAAACAATGCACTGAGTTGGTGGCATTCTGAAGCTCCTCATATTATAATTATATTATTATAATTATATATATAATTATAATCATTATAATTATATTTATTATTATTATTATTATTTAGGACTGGAGCACAGATCCAATTTTCCTAGAATAAGAGCCCCTCACCAGCAAGGTGAGGGGCCCTAAATGCTGGTGATCGCCGGATCTAGGAAACTGATCTGTCATCTCAGTTCCTAAATTTAATAATATAATTATAATAAGAATAATTAATAAGAGGCAAGCTTCAGAAACAGCACTAGTTAGGCACAGCAATGCCATAACACACAGCTGAGCTGTGCATGCATTTACACCATCATGGAAGCACTTCTTGTGTTTTGCTTGCATTTGTCAGCTATTTGCCAAATTTCTTTTTAACATGGTCCTAAAAAGTAAGTGCAAAGGACAACGCTGAGAAGAAAAAGCGAATGATTTCCATGAAATTAAAGCAGGAATTCATAATAAACCAAGGTACTGTGGGTAGTACATTACCCTTTGACAGTATCGTCAGGCCTCTCCCTGAACTGTCATCTATGTCGCTCAATTTTGAAAAAAAAAAAAAATTATTTTTCTTATGAAATGCTAGAGATCTTTTCCATGGTAATGACACAAAGTTCAAATTGGTCAACCTGGAATATAGAGCTCCCAGCAAGTAGGGCTCCTGATGCTGGTATCGGCTCTGGATCTAGGCAATCTGAATCTGTGCTCCAGTTCCACTAAATTTTAATATATATAGTTGATAAATAAATAATATAATTGATACAAGCTTCAGAACACAGCCACTAGTTTAGCACAAAGCAAAGTGCCAATTAAACACCAGCTGAGCAGTGGCATGCATTTACGCACATCATGAAGCATTTCTTGTGTTTTGCTTGCATTTTGTGCAGCTATTTTGCCAAATTTCTTTTTTCTAACCATGGGTCCTAAGAAAGTAAGTGCAAAGGACAAGCTGAGAAGAAAAAGAATGATTTCCATGAAATTAAAGCAGGAAACATAGATAAACACAAGCGAGGTATGTGGGTTGTGGGTAGTCATTAACCTTAGAGTGTATGCAAGTAAGTCTAGCGATTAAGCGATATAAAAAGGCAAAATGAAAAAAAAAAAAATACTTTTTTTATGAAATGTTTATAGGCCACTGACCCAGCAGTACACCGCCCCAATTCGAAATTTTCCCTCAAACTCTGCCAAATTCGCTCCAAGGTAAGGTGTACCGGAATATTGAAATCAGCTTATTTCTTACTTCTCCAATTTTATCATTTCTTTTACAATATTACTTATTTATAAATACACTGTTTCAGATGTTTTCCTTTATGAAACTATGACTAGTGCAGTTAACCTCATACAACTTGTTTCCTTATAATAAGGCAAATGGAAATAGTCACAATGTGGAGCGGGAATAAAAGCCTGCCAATTTCAAAAAGGCCCAGAATTAACATAATGAATTCCATCAAAGACATAAACCCTACAAGCACAATTTCCGAACTCATTTTTCCATGAAATATGTAAATCCAATTATACATTACAACAAAATATTTAAACAAAAAATTTGTACATATTGAAATAATTACTACAAAACAAGAACATGACAATAAAACAATATAAATGACACTTATTATTGAAGACTTGTTGATTATGAAGACTTGAGGAGGGGAAAAAGCTTCATTACTAGTTTCAAGGGATCCCTTCCATAAAGACTTCATGTTATAAAGTCTTTCCAGGTTTACTTCCCTTGTTTTTTAATCACTAAGACCCTGAATCGGTGGGAACGTAAATATTAGAAAAAACAAAAAAAAATCAAAAAAAGATCAGCTTTAGTTCTACCCCTGTCAATGTAAAGTGCCAGAGATTTTTTTATGTGGTCGCATGTTAAAGGAATTCTGCTCACATGTGGGCCTACCAGCTTTCTCCCACTTGATTGAAGCCGCTAGAATTATTGAGTATATATACGTCAGAAACATTGGCTCGTAAGACGTATTTATACGTCGAAAACAGTCAAAGGGTTAAGAGTGTAGCAAGTAAGTTAAGCGATTAAGCGATAGAAAAAGGACAAAATGAAACTAACTCCTTCAATGTTATTGTTGGTGTTTATAGGGCCACTGACAGCATACACCGCTCTGCCTATCTTTTACATCCTCAAACTCTGCCAGCAATCTCTGCTCCAAGGTAAGTGTGTACATAGACTTTATAAAATCAGCTTATTTCTTTACATTCTCTGTTTTATTATGTTTTTATACAATATTTCTTATTTATAAATACACTGTTTCAGTGTTTTCCTTATGAAACTAGTGATCTAGTGCAGTTAGCCTCATAAACACTGTTTTCTCTTATAATAAGAGCATGGGAAGATATAGTCAAGAGTGGGAGCGGGAATGGCCGCCACCACTAGTCACATACAATGGACCCTCAGTTATCATAATTAATCCATTCCAGAGAGAGCAACTAAACCCAAAGCTGACAATTTCCGAATTCATTTTTCCCATGAGAAATAATGTAAATCCAATTAATCCATTCCAGACAAAAGTATTTAAACAAAATAATTTGTTTACATAAAATATACATTTACCTACACAGAAAACAATGAGACATGCAGAATAAAACAATAATAAAATGACACTTACCTTTATTGAAGACTTGTTGATGTACGGAAGACAGGAGGAGGGGAGAGGATGAAGGAGTTACTAGTGTTCAGAAGGGGAATCCCTTCCATAAAGACTTCATGTTCTAAGTCCTTTACCAGGGTTACTTCCCTTGTTTTTTAATGCTACTAGGACCCTGCCTCGGTGGGAGACGGCCGACTTGTTGAAAAAAAAAAAAAAAAAAAAAAAAAAAAGGACCAGCTTGAGAGTCACTGGACCCCTGTCACTCAAAAAGTGTTCCAGAGAGGTCTGTTTCTGGCGTATGTTAGGAATTGTGGTGGCGGCAGGGGAGTGTATTGGGAGACAGGACAAGATAGTCCTTCAATATGACACTAATATGAACTCTACGGCTTATTTATCTAGCACAATTCATCTAATATGACATAATAAACAATATTAACATAGAAACATGCTATATACTCTAGAATGAATAAAATATGTCATTAGTATGTGACAAGTGGTGTTGTGTTGTTTATTATTGGGTGTATAGGTGTGGCGGCAGCAGAGGCGGCGGTGTTGTCAGTGTCGCCCTATATACCTTCAACAGCATTGGAGGAGTCAGTTTCATGCTGTCCTTTTTCTATCGATTAATTGCTTAACTTACTTGCCATACTATTAATGCTACACTTTATCGCTGGCTGGCGCTATAGCCTTTATCGACTCCTGCTGCTTTAGTATCATACATATCGCAGAATCACTGAAGGCGGCACATTCTCCCTCTTATTTAGCAGTTGCAAGCACTAAAAAGAATGGAATAATATGAAATATATCGTATGAACGCGTGGGATCATCCTCACTGGCTGATAAACAATGGCACACTGAGTGGCAGGCCGCTGTTGCTGTGTGGACGCGTTCAGGGACAAATGACTTGCCAAGCTCAATGACTATCACCGAGCCAATATTTTGACGAAAAAACATTACTATTTCCGAATATTACAAAATCTGACAACTACGAAATCTGGGGGTCCACTGTAATGACATTTTATTCATTCTAGAGTATATATCATGTTTCTATGCTATTTATATTGTTTATTATGTCATATTAGATGAATTATGATAGATAAATAAACCGTAGAGTTGATATTAGCATCACACTGAAGTATTTTGTCCTGCCTCCCGAGAGCAAGAATTCTGCTGGAACGGATTAATGGTATTTGTTAATTTAAATAAGGAAAATTGATTTGATATACAAGCAAATTGAGTCACGAGCTAGGTCATGTAATGATTAAACTTGTAAGTCGAGGTTTCTCTGTATATAAAGTGGCCCAACCAGAAGTACAGTACTGTCAGTAGTATGAATATGAAAATGGTATACAATACCAACAAGTTGTTAAGTATGACACATGTGCAACAGTTAGGTATATTTATTCCAAAACATTCTGCCTACGTGGTAGGCTTCCTCTATATTCAACTGAAGAAGTCTACTGTGTAGGTGAAACGTTTCGGAATATACCTAACTGTTGAACATGCGTCTTACCTGTCAACAGAATGTTGTAAAGAGGCAGCCACCCAATAACTGTACCAGTAAAAGAATGGATAAAGAAGATCTCTTGCACTATAGAAGCAAGAACAGTACAGAGCTAAAAATAAAATGTATCATGATCAAATAATGATGAGAAACCTCAGCTATATAATATGGAGCACAGCTCATAAATTTTGGGGGAGAAATTTGCTTGTCACCATAGTACAGTTAAAATGCTGTTTATTAAAATGTACATATAATACAGCTCATTTTTTTAAACAGGTTAGTAAAATATTAAACTGTATGATTAATTGCCTCCAAGTTTGAGTATGGTAGTTCATGTATTTTGCCTACCTTGTGTAGTAGCTGTAAATACAGTTTAAACTCCTAAATACATCATAATTTATTACATACCTGCACAGGACCAAGTATCAATGACCTGAATAAAGTACAAGGTAAAATTTTACATCATTAGGAATATTAGTGGTAATTGATGTCTGTCAATGTTTTGCAAATTATGACCCCTTGACTCTACACATTCCAAGAGCTAAAGCCATAATAGCATATGGTGTTATATATTTAGTTTTCTAAAGAAAAATTAAAAATGCTGTCTCATGAATCCTCTTAGAGCCTAGTAACTTCTCTAAGTATTCACAAGTTGCATGAGTAGTTCACAACACCGAGGCTAATGTTAATACAGTTTAACTGCTAGTACTTGCCATTTTCTAATTAAACAACTTCCTCATAAAAACAATTATAACAAGGACACAAACTACACTGGAAAATTGATAGTCTTACCTAAACAAATCTCCAAAAAATTATAACTGAAAAAATATCAGTTGGATAAAAAAAAATCTTTCACGTGATTACTTCTGTATTTAATGGATTATTAATGTTCCTAAGTTGATTATAGAACAATATTCCTCTATACAGAATGACGTGGGAAGTATGCTGTTTGGTAACTTGCTTGGGCTGACGACGTCCACTGGATGGTTGTATACAAGTAGGTATACACTCAACTCTTAAAGAGTTCAAACATTTAGTTGGCCAGAGTCAAGAGGATGTATGAGAGATAATTAGCTAGGAAAGGGGAGTAACAAGAATGTAACTGGAGCAAGATATAAAGACATCACATGGTGCTACCTTAAATGTACCAAACTCAGCAGCAGTAGCAGCACATGTTATCACTCCTATATAGTGACTAATAGATTACATCTTAGCGAAGCAAGCAGGATCATTATGTACATAGCCAAATCCATAATTTTGGCAATCACAAGTAATATACATACATAGTAGGTAAAATTCACCACAATCCCACAAACGTTGATGATGAAAACCACATACAGAACACAATACAGCCGATCATCGGAAAACACTGAAATTTTGCATGATAGTAATTCACTGAGCCAAGCCGAATCAAAACTCTTGATAATTCCAGTATGCACTTTTGCATATTCAGAAAGACAGTCTCCAAACATAATTATGTTTGGAAAATCAAACAGCAGCAGTTGACGCATTCTCATCAACCTAAACATAACACTGTATTCTTTATGTAGATAACATCATCACCCAGATGTAGTATTGTAGTTGCCTGGCCAGATTTATTTTCATTATAAAACGGCTTAGCTGTTATTTCAGCTGATGGTAAAGCCAACCTCAATAACTGCACAGACTAAATACACAGCTTACAATTTTTTTGCACCAAGAGGTCATGCAATAAACTGACTGTTTTCTAGCTTGGCTATTGGTAATGGACATGTGTCTCAACTTTTTTTGTTTTAAAGTTTTTCTATTTTTACAGTTTTCTTATTTTTTTAGGCAGGCCGGGCAGCTCCCATCACTATCAGAGCTCAAGTCCTTATTATCACAGATATAAAACTTGCACTAAATTTGAGAAAAAAAAAATTAAAAAAATCTTTGGTGCAGGGAAGAAATACCAAAAGGCATTAAATAGTAAGTAGCACAGTAGAGATCAGATCATGAGACCAAATGCCAGATACAAAACTGGTCTCTTAGTCTCAATTTTTCCATCACTTGCATCCATTATAAACCATCAGTTGCCAAAATAGCTAAATACTTCAATCAACCAGTTGCCAGTCATGCCAGTCACACTCGTCAGTATTGTAACTACAGGTGCTTCTTGACTTACATGTAGTTACGTTCCAATGACCCCATAAGTTGAAAATATTTAAAGTCAAATATGAATATGTATATGTATGATATGATAAGTACATAAATAAATAACTACTGTCAATGAATAAGTAAATCAACAAATAATTACTGTAACTTACTAAGACCAGTAATGAAAAGTAAACAAACGAATACAATTTTAACCTGTCAACATATGTACAGCACTGTACAGCATAAAAACCTGTAACAAACAAACCTGTAGCAAACACGATCTTTGAATTCCTTGAATCCTGACTACTGAATGTGCAGCACTATTGCAACAATGTAAAGTTGAGATATAGTAAGTGGAACCATCGTAAAGCAAGGAGCATCTGTATTCCCTTTCAAAAAATATTTGCAAATTATCTCTAAAATATTAGCACAATTCTTCTGAACAAAAGATCAATAACAATTCTTCTAATATCTTCCATGCCCTCAGGAAAAAATACATTACCCTTTCATCAAGTCTTTCAAACAAAATGAAAAACTATGCCCCACCACATTTCAAAACTTTCTATAGGAGAACTTCACAACAGTTGTTGATTAAGATAATCTCACAGTCATCTCTAGTAATTTATGCACACCACTAAAAATTAATTACTTTAACTATAAATACAGGTACAATAATGATTATATGAACAAATTTAGATCTCAAAGGGAACATGCTACAAACACTAATAAAGAAAAGCAGTTTATAAGCATAATCATAATTTAAGAAACAAGATAACACACCATTCCTCAAGCACAAACACTGTCCTTTAATTCCCTTGACAAAAATTAAATTAAATTGTTCCTTAAATGACAATTTTTTATATGGATCTTTTCTTCCTTTATTGTTTAAAGCAGTGTTTCTCGGCAGGATTTATCCAACAAGCTTACACCTGGACCTTCTGATTATTTTAACTCCAGACTTTAAATCCTTGAGGTGGGAAGTACAATGCCTGCACTCTAAAGGAGGGGGTGAGGATGTTGTGGTTCAGAGGTCATCTGAACTATGATTTCCACACACTTCTGGCAAGTCAGCTATTGAATGGATGATGGTGAATGCACTTCCTCTTTTTTAAGGAGGGGGTGTAATGACCCTACCTCAGTGGGAGAAGGCCAGTGTGTTAAAAAATTATATTGGAGAGTCTTAAACCTCAAATTTTAAGAGTGCCTGCATTTATTAATTTTTCATTGCAGGGAAGATGGATGAATACATTAGCTCCAGGTCACATTTCTTAACTTTAGACTGAATGCCATAATACAGACCAGTTACATCTATTTGAACCTTGTATGGAGTCTTTTTCACTGTCACTGACAAGCTCAGCCCACTTTTTTTTTTTTTTTTTTTTTTTTTCAACAAGTCGAGCCGTCTCCCACCGAGGCATATTTTAATGCATCTTGTGCTTTCAAAGCCAAGTCAGTCAAGCAAGCTAAACTGTCCTAAAATAATCCTTTTGTAAATTTTCTTTTATGCATTAACAGATATGTTATTGTGACTTGGCATGATGTACAAATTTGAAATATGCTGCCAAACTAAATAAACAACCTTACCTAATTTTGCTAAAATTAATGTAATATAATTTTACTTAATCTTACCAACTTATCTCAGGTCAATCTATATGGAGTTCTTATCTAACATCAAAGAAATAGAGTAAAGTACATTAATTCCATGATTTTACAGAGTTTAAGCCACAACTAATTTATGCTCAGCAAAACTGTCGTTAACTTTTGCAAGATAATATAATTTCAGCACTGTCCATTAGCAAACCACTCTGCCTCACCCTGCTGACAAAATTTATTTCTCAGTTTCCAAACGTTAATCTTATAAACCTCTAATGCATATTTTTGGACTGATATTGTATACACAACATAATGAAGCAAAACAAAGTCGCAAGGAAAACTCGTATTATGGATTATATGATGCTCAGACAAAAATATCTGCAATTAACCAATTTAACAATTAACACTGCATTTTCCCTCAAAAAACTGCATGTGTGTTAAGATAAGCAGCAGTTTTAAACAGGCTGTGACTAAACATTCCTACCAACTCGACCCATGTTTAAAGAAACCCACAAGAAAATTGTGTTGGGCTGCAGTGCTAAGGTTAAGGCAGTGTGATCACTACAGAGCTTGGTCCATGCTGACACTACAAGTGATGTAGAAAATTAATTCATGTTGAAATAATAATATCGTTTCAGGTGATGATGAAATACTTGTGATTCATAAGCATTAAAAATAATACAAAAGAAAAAATTCTCCTTCATCAGTTTTGAGATTTAAAGAACTGAATTTTTGGTTCAATTAAGAAAACTTAGTATCAATTTGGAGTCACAGATAATCAATATACATTTTAAATTCATTAGATACACTTCTGTACTTAAGAATTCCATGGGAAGTAATTCATCACTTGACAACACTTAATACTGAAATTTAACCAACAGTTCAGTCTGTCCATAAATTAATGGCAAACACTGGTAATTCTGGCAGTGAATGTGGTGGCTATCATTCCAAACTGAAAAATCACATGCACCAATTATATTTTAAAGTCCTTAATTTTGATATAAAATATAATGCAAATCACAATGCAATTTCTTCAAAAATGAAGAATAAATTCACCAGATATAGAATAATCTGATGTAAAGCAATAAATTGCATTTATCTCATATTGTAAAGTCTAGAGAGAGATCCAATCCAGGATTTCCGTTACACACCCATGTACACCTCCATACACACGACAAATAAATATCAATATGCAACACAAACACAATGCCATCACCAGGTCTTCCCAAGCTCTCTCCGAGACACCATAACTGTCTCGACTCAGAGAATATACCATGCGAGATCCTGAGAGACCATTATACCGCCGCAATGAATACATGACTGGGGTGACAAAGTGTAAGGCATTATCATCCTCAAAATCTATCAAACATAACTCAAGCTGTTTCCAGAGGGAGGACGGTAAACGCCATAATATTCTCTCGTAAGTGAATGGGTGCATAGAGGCTTTCCATTCAATATTTTCCCTACGTATGAGGCTGCTAAACGCACATGGAATATTTCCCTCGAACATCTGTGAATGAGTTCTTGTGGAGGTATGTCTAAGATAATATCTTTTATGTGATAAACTCTTCCTGGGGTAACATTTCTTATGATGTGTTTTTTTTTTGGCATACAAGATTTGTAGACAAAGAATAAGGGTATGAAGCCAGTTGTTTACAATTACGACAAGAAGAGCCTGGTAGCACCTTTCTTAGATAAGTTTTAAACAAAGATGTCACACAGCGCTTGACTTGAGGCCTATAGTGATAGCAAGTGCGCCGAGCTCCAAAGGGTCCGAAAATTAGACAAGATCCATTGTCCATGCTCAAGTGTAGTGATTCTTCAATGCCAACTAATTGTGCTTCTGAGCCACTAATCAACTTCTTTGGAGATGAGTTATTTTCTATACAATTGTGACCATTCTCCAAGCCTTCCTCTCTTATATGTGAAATTTTATTTACAACTGCACCTTCACCTTTCTGAGTCACTGATTTCTTAGGTGTAACTTTACAACTGCCACTTACCACAGTTTCTCCTACACCTTTACCAAAATATCTTGGATCTTCGTCATAATCATCTTCGAACACTGCAGAGCTACGTGGAGACCACACAGGACTGGTTATTTGGGAACCAGACCGCGGGATTTTGGATACATGGAACTGTCCGGCACCTGCGATGGGGGGCGCAACCCACTTTTGAATCTGTAGAAAAAAAAAAAGAGTCAGCAGATATACTTTGGAAAAGCCCTCTCATATAGGTAATCAAATTTAGCAACAGAGAATATATAATGTTTGTTATCCTGTAATCAGTCTGAATAACAAACACCATAACAAAACCCAAGTATTCATGCATTACATCCAATGGTTGCTATCCCACCACCTGCAAAGTGATGCAGGGTTAGTCCACATAGTGCAATTTCACTTAGCAACTGCATACATTTCAATAACATAAGTGCAAATTTTGCTTAGTACCAAACTGTCCACTTAACCTAAACAGTCTAGCACCACCTCACCCCTTAATATCCAAAACCATTAAAAAAAATGCACGTATTGCAACGAATTCTACCAAGAACAGAACCCACAACTTAATCCCTTTCAGTGTCGTGACCCCTGCTCACAAACTTGCTCCCAGGGTCAAAGAATTAAAGAAAAACAAATATTTTATCTTATGAAATAGAGAATCTTTTTCTGAAAGTAATGAAACCAAAAGTATAAAATTTGATGGAAAACTTACGGAATTACGTTCTCGCAAAGTTAGCGGTCTAGGCGATATTTAAGCATCGGCAATTTTGCCCACTTTATGCTCTATTTTGGCCAGTTCCATTGCTCCAGATGACCACATTCAGATATTTCGCTAGTATTCCTACTATTCTATCAAACGAGTACAAGAAACTGCCCATTTACCTATTTCAGCTACTCAATAAAGTGATCAGAAATCGGTAATTTGGTCAATTTCACCCAAAATTCAACAATTGCCAATTTGAAAATAGGGTCCAGAATAAACAATGTAGACATTCTTGGCACTAAATAAATGCTTCCTCTGCTCCTTAGTCACATCTTCAGGCTCCTCTTATATTACACTTGCTTTTCATTTTGAATTTTTATTCACACACAAAAAAATAGAAAATTTACTTTTATGCAGACTACTGCATTATTGTAATAATTGTAAAAATAATGTCCGCGCATTCCTAAACTCATATTAGACTAGCCAGTTGGACACGTTTTGGAAAAGTGACGTTATTTGTGTACTCTGGAATATTGGCAAGAATCAAACATTTCTGCTACTTTGAGCTCAATTTCAAGTTACTTTCAATCCCGAAACTAATTAAAATCACCTCTATTTCTGTAATATATTTTCCATTCTATCAAATGAGACTAAGAATACAAAATACAACGCTAAATCGCCGTTTTAAACCAAAAACACGGCTGCCATTTTTTTTCCTCATTATGCATTGCATGCTGCAGGATTTTATATGGTGCACACTTACCGCATAGACCCATTTCCTCATATCTAGGCCTAAAATTACCGCTCACAGCTTATCCGATGTAAGTAATAGGTTGGTAGACAGCAACCACCCAGGGAGGTACTACCGGTCTGCCAACTGAGTGTAAAACAAAAGCCTGTAATTGTTTTACATGATGGTAGGATTGCTGGTGTCCATATTTGTCTCATAAACGTGCAAGATTTCAGGTACGTCTTGCTACTTATATTTACACTTAGGTCACACTACACATACATGTACAAGCATATATATACACACCCCTCTGGGTTTTCTTCAATTTTCTAACTAGTTCTTGTTCTTGTTTATTTCCTCTTACCTCCATGGGGAAGTGGAACAGAATTCTTCCTCCGTAAGCCATGCGTATTGTAAGAAGCAACTAAAATGCCAGGAGCAAGGGGCTAGTAACCCCTTCTCCTGTATAAATTACTAAATTTAAAAAGGGAAACTTTCATTTTTCTTTTTGGGCCACCCTGCATTGGTGGGATACGGCCGGTTTGTTGGAGAAAAAAAAAAAAAAAAAAAAAAGCTCATCAGAATGAGCTGAGCTCATGGCATCACATTACGGGACAGACACTGGCTTCAAAGCCATGATACAACAGGACCAACACTGAAAGAGTTAAACCACCACCATATAAAAATTATAAATGAATTTTGAAGATTTTATTTTAGAAAAATAATATTAATTAAATTAATTCTAATTAAATTAAATCTACTTATACCAGAATCATCACATTTCTTTATTGATTTTCACTACAATCATACAAAATATCAATCCACTCAACAAACACAAAAAAATGTCAATGCAGCACCAACCTCGATAAACTGTATTAAATAAAATAATTTAGCAATTTAATTTTACCCCAACAATCAAACATTTGTAAGCCAATCAACCATACATGTACCAAATAACCACATATACAAACATTAATTCACTTGACAAAAAAACAATATAACACAACTATATCACTTTAGGAAAGGGGTAAGTGGAAAAGAATCCTTCCTCTGTAAGCCACGTGTCATAAAGGCAACTGAAATGCTGGGAACAAGGGGCTAGTAACCCTTTTTCCTGTACAGGCAGGCCCTGCTTTATAGTATTTTCCTAATAGAGTGGTTTTCAATTATACCCATTCCTCACTTACTCACACTTCCTACAATAAATATATTCACCACTCGTTATAAACTAAGGATGAAAATATTTTAAGTATTGTGTGTCTCCATGGGAAATGGAACAGAATTCTTCCTCCGTAAGCCATGCGTGTTGTAAGAGGCGACTAAAATGCTGGGGGTAAGGGGCTAGTAACCCCTTCTCCTGTATAAATTACTAAATTTAAAAAGAAAAACTTTTGTTTTTCTTTTTGGGCCACCCTGCCTTGGTGGGATACGGCTGGTGTGTTGAAAGAAGTATTGTGTGTACTGTGTATATATTTTTTTAGGCCTAGTTATATTGCTCACTTAATATATGATAGTGTAAACATGTTATCAGGCTTTTAAATGCTTTTGAAAGTGAAAAAAAAAGGGGCTATGTTTCACTATACAGCAGTAGCCTGGAACCTAACCTGCTGTATAAGCAGGGCCTTCCTGTATAAATTTTCAACATTACAAAACGCTAAAACAAGGAAAACTTGCATTTCTTCTTTGTCGGATCACCCCACTTTTGATATACCTTTGATGAGGTCCAAGGGTTTTTCTACTACTGGAGCAGACCAATGTGTTAAAAAAAAAAAAAAAAAAAAAAAAAAGTGTTCACCAACAGCCTGATTGGGGAGGGATTAGGCTACAATTAATGAGGATCAAACCTCCACCCCTTAATGTGCTAAATGACTCACAAGGGGTAAGAACCTCATGATATAAAAGTAATATGCAGCTCTGTCTTGCCAGAGGTGTGCTGATACTAGAGCTTAGATGCTCCTCAAAACTACAAGTATCCCCCATTCCTCCTTCAGAGTGCATGCACTTTACCTCCTGTCATCACAATTCATGTCCATCTAACTGGTTTCAGTGAATCCCTTCAGAAAATGTTATATTGCTCACACTCAAACAGCTCCAAATATCATTCATCTCCATTCACTCCTATCTAACATGATCACACAAGCCTGCTGGATGTCCAAGCCCCTCACATGCAAAACTTCCTTTACCCCCTCCCTCCAGCCTTTCCTAGGGCAACTCCTACCCTGCCTTCCCTTCATTAGAGATTTATACACCCTCTCAAAGTCCAAACTACCTCACCATCCCCTCCTCAGCCTTCTGGATAATACTTTCAGTAACCCTGCACTTCCTCCTAATCTCCAAGCTATGAATTATCTGCATAATATATACACCACATACTGCCCTAAGACACCACTGCTCCAGCCTTCTCCTCGCTGCAACATTCACAACCCATGCTTTACACACGTATAAGAGTATTGGTACCAATATTCTCTCAAACATTCCCCTTTTTGCCTCCATGGATAACATCTCCATAGATGCCTCAATGCACTATCTAACTTTTTCCCCCACTTATCAATTCTTTGGTTTACCTTGTCTTTCACAGATCCATCCACCGACAAATTCACTCCCCAACACCTAAACACATTCACTTCCTCCATACTCCCTCCCTCCAATCTAATCTCCACTCATCCATTACCTAAACCTTCTACCCTCATCATACCTTCATCTCTCCTCATACCTTAATCTGATACTCACTATCCTCATAAAAACTCATAACTGCTTTTGGTAACCAAACACCTGTTTCATACACTTGTAACATCTACCACACTGCTTCCTTATCCACTGTCATATGCCTTTTCCAAATCCATGAATGAAACAAAAACTTCCTTACCTTTATCTAAATAATGTTCACTTATATGCCTCAATATAAAAACTTGGTCTACACATCCCCAATCCTTCAAAAACCCTCCTTGTTCATCAGCAAACCTGCACTCCATCTTACTCTTAGTGTTTTCATTGCTACTAACTTTACCATACACTTCACCTGGTATACTCGACAGGCTTATTCCCCTATAATTTTTACACTCTTTTGTTCCCCTTCCCTTCATACAAAGAAACTATGCATGCTCTGTGCCAGAACCTAGGTACCTTCGTCTCTTTCATACATTCATTGCACAAAAGTACCAACCATCCCAAAACTATAACCCCACCTGCTTTTAATATTTATCTTGATCCTATCAATCCCAGCTGCTTTACCCCTTTTCATTTTAACCACTGCCTCACACATCTCTACCACTCACATATGCCTCTTCACTCTTAAAAGATGATATACCTCCCTGGTGAATGCATGAAATAATTGACTCCCTTTCCTCAAACAACATTTTACAATTCCTCAAAATATTCCAGCCATCTTCCCAATACCTCTGACTCCCCATCTAATAATTCCCCTCTTCTGTTTTTTAACCGTCAAATCCATTTTTTCCCTAAGTTTCCTCAACCTATTAATCTCACTCCAAAACTTTTTCTTACTCTCAACAAAATTTGTTGACAGACCCTCACCCTACTCTCACTTGTACTCCTTTTACACTCTCTAACCACTCATTCTCCATACACACCACCCTCCTTACATCACTTCTTTATAAAAATTTCAAATATGTTAGCTTTTTCTCCCTTACCACTACCTCCTCATCATTCCACCAATCACTCCACTTCCCTCCTGCACTCACTCTCCTATATCCACAAACTGTCATTCCTTGTTTAGTGGCCATTGGTGCCTGTCTGATATTTTCATCAAAATTTTGAATTTATAAAAATACAGTAGAATTTTCATCTCAGCACATGTTTACAATTACAAAAATGGGAGCTTATAACTAAAGGAATAAAGCTAATGTTAAGAGAGACAGAGATTATTTCTTTATACAATTTAAAAATATTTACACTCATGTAAGAGAAGTTCATATATATAGGATTTAAATAGAAACAGTAAAACAATAGTTTAAAAAAACACCTGTTGAGGATTTATATAAAATGCTGTTATTAAGAAAGCTTTGTGGTTAGTATTATTCATCAAGAGCTGTGGATTAATAAAATATATGTACTGGTAGCTCTGTGGAAGAATCACAAGGCAAAGCCTGGAAAAACACAAGGAACATTAACAAAGCATCTTCTTCATATATTTGTTTTAGACAAAGTCAGAACCATAATGGAAAAGGTGACAAAGTTCCCTTTTAAAAATACCTTAGCTCAAAAAATACATCCTGAAATCTGCACTGGCTACGTCATGGAATGTTTATAAAAAAATAAACATCTTGGTTTTAATGGACGACTTGTGCGATGACCTACTTCAAAACAGGACAAAGTATCACTGAAAGTCAACTAAAAAATATTAAATTTTTCTTTGTTTATTGGAATGTCTCCAATCAAGAAGTTCAATACATGTTTTGAGGGGTCTTCCCATAAATGTAGGGTCACCTTGCACTGGCCAATAAATGAAATGATATATAAAAAAAAAAAGAATATAAAAGACAGAATAAGCATAACAGTTAAGAGATCAATGTATCAGTAACTTATGTAAGATTTGTAAGAAAAACAGCAAAGTTTAATTCAAATTTACATTTAATCCCAATCTTTTGGTAAACACTGAAGTTTTGCCTCTCCTTCTTTATGGTTCTTGAAACAGGCCAATGCACAAGGTTACAAACACAAGTACAAAGAGTAAGTTAGGAAGCCACATGAAGGCAACAGTCCATGTTATGCCATAGGAGAGCTAAGATGGAGTGGGGTCATTCATATTAAGCAAGGCCAGGTCACATTTCCAGATTATGGAAGAGACACGTCAAGTAACTGGGTTAGCTCCAAACACTCTGTGAAACTGTACATTTCCAATTCCCAGTTTTAGTTAGCATAAAGACTTAGGAGTTGCAGTACCTCAGGAATGATTGTATTCATGGTCTGTTTGTAATTTTTTATTACAGCACCAATCTCATCATTAGCACATGGGGACAACCTGAAAATGTTGGAAAAATTGTCAGCTCAGTCCTTGCTTGATTTTGAGAGCCAAAACACCTCTCATTACACTCAAAATCCTAGATAAGGAAATGAGCTTAATGCTTCACCTAAGAGAATCATCAACGGTTAGAAACTACTAGGAAGGAATGCAGAAACCTGTTCTCCAAATTCTTGGATTGTTTCACATCTCTGCATCGTTTGTTATTGAAGACACATCAGCAATACTTAAGACTATGGTTGAGAGTACTTTTAATCAAAAAGTATTGCAAATGGTTCATTAATTATCTAAGGTAAGGTGGGAACAAAACCTAATAACAAGCAATATATAACTAAGAAATAATAAAAATTATTATGTTAGACAATGATCAGTTTGTAAAGTGTGCCAAAGTTTCTCACAAACAAAAAAAAACAATGAAAACCTTTGAACTGTAAAATAAAAAATCTACATCATTATATGCAATAAACAGTGTGCTAAAGATAAGTTACCATTTATTCATGCATTTCTAAGAAGTACTTGGGAAGTAATGCATACATACCTAAATGATACAAAAAGAAAGGGAAGAAAAATTAGATAATACTCAAAGATCAGTTTTAACCATCCACTAGCAAGAGGGTATCACAGATACAATGCACTGTAAAATGACAAGCATCATAAAAAAAAATAACTTACTTTCCTTTGGTCTTCTCTTTTCGAGTTGACCTGACTGCTTGTGAACGATTTAAAGTTGCAAGGGAAGCATCAATGCTGAGATCTTCATCAAGTGGCATGAGAGCAGCCTCCAGTGCGGCAGCAACCCGAGGTGCCACTAATGGACCTTCCCAGTCTCGAGTTGTACGCACAGCAGGATCCAGCTCGACAACCATGATGTTTTCCCCCTGAAAAAGAATGCAAAAAAAAAAATATATATATATATATAGGGTGTGTAGAAGAGAGGGAGAATACTTCCCGGTAAAAGTAGGTCTTAGACAGGGATGTGTAATGTCACCAAGGTTGTTTAAAATATTTATAGATGGGGTTGTAAAAGAAGTAAATGCTAGGGTGTTCGGGAGAGGGGTGGGATTAAATTATGGGGAATCAAATTCAAAATGGGAATTGACACGGTTACTTTTTGCTGATGATACTGTGCTTATGGGAGATTCTAGAGAAAAATTGCAAAGGTTAGTGGATGAGTTTGAGAATGTGTGTAAAGGTAGAAAGTTGAAAGTGAACATAGAAAAGAGTAAGGTGATGAGGGTATCAAATGATTTAGATAAAGAAAAATTGGATATCAAATTGGGGAGGAGGAGTATGGAAGAAGTGAATGTTTTCAGATACTTGGGAGTTGATGTGTTGGCGGATGGATTTATGAAGGATGAGGTTAATCATAGAATTGATGAGGGAAAAAAGGTGAGTGGTGCGTTGAGGTATATGTGGAGTCAAAAAATGTTATCTATGGAGGCAAAGAAGGGAATGTATGAAAGTATAGTAGTACCAACACTCTTATATGGATGTGAAGCTTGGGTGGTAAATGCAGCAGCGAGGAGATGGTTGGAGGCAGTGGAGATGTCCTGTCTAAGGGCAATGTGTGGTGTAAATATTATGCAGAAAATTCGGAGTGTGGAAATTAGGAGAAGGTGTGGAGTTAATAAAAGCATTAGTCAGAGGGCAGAAGAGGGGTTGTTGAGGTGGTTTGGTCATTTAGAGAGAATGAATCAAAGTAGAATGACATGGAAAGCACATAAATCTATAGGGTAAGGAAAGAGGGGTAGGGGTCGTCCTCGAAAGGGTTGGAAAGAGGGGGTAAAGGAGGTTTTGTGGGCGAGGGGCTTGGACGTCCAGCAAGCGTGCATGAGGGTATTAGATAGGAGTGAATGGAAACGAATGATACTTGGGACCTGACGATCTGTTGGAGTGTGAGCAGGGTAATATTTAGTGAAGGGATTCAGGGAAACCGGTTATTTTCATATAGTCGGACTTGAGTCCTGGAAATGGGAAGTACAATGCCTGCACTTTAAAGGAGTGGTTTGGGATATTGGCAGTTTGGAGGGATATGTTGTGTATCTTTATACGTATATGCTTCTAAACTGTTGTATTCTGGGCACCTCTGCAAAAGCAGTGATAATGTGTGAGTGTGGTGAAAGTGTTGAATGATGATGAAAGTATTTTCTTTTTGGGGATTTTCTTTCTTTTTTGGGTCACCTTGCCTCAGTGGGAGACGACCGACTTGTTGAAAAAAAAAAAATAAATAAATAATATATATATATATATATATATATATTATATATATATATATATATATATATATATATATATATATATATATATATATATATTATATAATATAAATATATATATATATATATATATATATATATATATATATATATATATATATATATATATATATATATATATATAAAATTTTTCTTACCCCATTTATGTTTCCAACCAAGGGAGGGTAGGAGGGAGTGGGAATGATGTAGTTTGGAAAGTCATCAGAACTGTCATGTCAGCATGCTTCTTGCAACATAGTGATCAAATGAATGATGGTCAAAGTGTTTCTTTATCAAATTGCTTTACCTTGGTGGGAGATGGCCAGTGTGTTAAAAAATATATGAAAACAATGTCCTTGAAAGCTGTACAGTACTGAGTGATATAATATACAATGCTAAACTGTGAAGAATCAATTCATATAACATTAAAGTTCATAAATTTTCTCATGGAACTTTGTAAGGTCATAAGATCGAAGGTTGGAGGGAGGGAGTAAAGGAAGTTTTTGTGGGGTCGGGGATTGGACTTCCAGCAAGCGTGCGTGAGCGTGTTAAATAGGAGTGAATGGAGATAAATGGTTTCTGGGACCTGATGAGCTGTTGGAGTGTGAGCAGGGCTTCAGGGAAACTGGTTAGCCAGACTTGAGTCCTGGAAATGAGAAGTACAATACCTGCACCTTAAAGGAAAGGTTTGGGATATTGGCTGCTTGGAGGGACATCTAAATTGTCATACCTGAGTGCCTCTGCAAAGACAGTGATTATGTATAAGTAATGGTGAAAGTGTTGAATGATGCAAGTTTTTTCTTTTCTTTCTTTTTGGGTCACCCTGCCTCAGTAAAGGCCATGATAAAAAAAACAAAGATTGATGGCAAGAATGGGGAAGGGAAGAACTGGGGTAAGGTAAAAGCAGCAAAAAAATGAAGACAGACGTGAAAGATAAAAAAAAAAAAAAAAGTTGATTGGCCAAAGCACTTTCGATGGGTATGATATCAGTGATGAGTGTGATATCAGTGTATGGAACTAGATATGGGTGAATATACTTTAAGACTACTTTTTCAAGAAAAACTGCATTACATATAGTACAGACAGAAAATACAGTGGACCCTCGAGTTTCGGCAGCATCGACTCTCGTGAAATTCGACTTTCAGCAAGTTTTTCGGCAAAATTTGGCCTCGAGTTTCGTGATTAGACTCTTCATTCGGCGACCGTCCGGTACCCGTCCGCCTGTCACCACGCACACAAAGCCAGTCTCCCATGCCATTCACACTCAGTGTGCCAATGTTTACCAACATGTGACCATTACCCCGCGGGTTCATACGTAATAATCCATGGTTTTTTGTGATTGCAACTGCTAAGTAAGTCACCTTGGGCCCAAGGAAAGCTAGTGCAAGCCCTTTGGTAAAGAAAGCAAAGAACACGATCCAGAGGGATTTTGAAGGGTTAGAGGCAGACCCTGACCCTGCCGACCCTCTGCCTGTTGTGGAAGGTGTTGTGGCATTGGGCAAGTCCATGGGGTTGGAGGTGAGTGACGGGGATGTGGAAGAGTTGGTGGAGGACCACAGGGAAGAGCTAACCACTGACGAACTGCAAGAGCTTCAACTGGAACAGCATCAGACCACAACTGAGGAACTTGCTTCGGTGATTAAGGACATGTGTTCAAAATGGAATGAGTTGCAAAATTTTGTTGAAAAGTATCACCCTGACCAAGCTGAAACAAGCCATATCTGCAACATGTTCAGTGACAAAAACTTGTCCCACATAAGGCAAATCATAAAGAAATGCCAGAAACAGACCTCAATGGACAGATATTTTGTGCGACAGGGGTCCAGTAACTCAAGTTGTTCCCAGTGGCATTAAAAGAAGAAGGGAAGTAACCCCAGAAAAGGACTCGCTACCTGAAGTCCAAATGGAAGGAGATTCTCCTTCCAAACAGTAATGTACACCTTCCTCCTATCCCCTCCTCCCGTCTTCCATCCACCCAGAAGTCTTCAGTAAAGGTAAGTGTAATGTTATTATTATTTTTTATATGCATGTACTTGATTTCTGATTGTTTTCAGTATGTAAATCTTTATTTAACTTGAAAAAAAATTTTTTTTTTTTTAATATTTTTGGGTGTCTGGAACGGATTAATTTTATTTCCATTCTTTCTTATGGGGAAAATGGTTTTGAGTTTCATGAATTTCGACTTTCGGCAGGCTCTCTGGAACAGATTAATCACGAAACTCGGGGGTCCACTGTACCACATACTTATGAATAAACTGCCTCCACAGGCATAAATACCGAAAGTTAAGATAAAAATAAGCATATGTCATTGTGCTTTTCCCTACCTTGTATCTTGGGTTATGATCAACTGAAGCCTGCATTTTGGCATACTCTGAGGTAGGTCTCCGAGATGCTGAAGATACTGGTCGTTTCAGGGTACCACCCGTTTGTCGAACCACTGGTCGAAGCTGCAATCAATATATTATTTTAGTGTGGGAAGAACTATCATCTGAAGGTCAAATGAAGACTAAATGGGGTGAAATACAACATAAGTTATAAAAGACACAATTTCAAAATTTGTACTGAATAATATTATCTGCAGTGCAAGATGCCATTCCAATTTAGAGGGCACAAACATTAATCATCAGTCTTCAGGTTGATTACTAGAGCTCTGGGTGCAATAAGACACAAAAACAAAAATGAATGTGCAGAGGCAACAGTGATTTGAAAAAGTGCAATAGAGTTCTTGCTGGGATATACAAGAGTGAGTGAGGATGCGATCGTGGCCTGTGGTTCAGTTGGCAATGCTCTCGCCTCACACACTGAACGTCCATGATTCAATCTCTGGCCAGGTAGTAACACTGGGCATGCTTCCTTACACCTACTGTCTCTATTCACCTAGCAGTAAGTACCTGGGGGTTAATCAACCAGTGAGGATCACATCTTAAGGGACAAAACTGAAGGACCCCAATGGAAATGAGAGTCCTCTATGACTAATTTTCTTGGGTTATCCTGGGTGGCTAACCTTACAGGCTAAAAATTCAAATAAATCTTATCTTATAGTTTTCGATGTTCTCCTGGTGGGTTACTAGAGACCAATCATGGAAATACACTAACTATGATGACATCACATAACCCTGTCTAAAACCCACTTTTACTGGAAAATGCTCATTTTAACTTACCACCTATTCCATACACTAGCAACATGTGTCACATCACTCCCCAATCCACAATATAGACCTTATCTAACTGTTGCATAAATAACACAAACATATTTATCATCTATACTTTAAGGAAAACAATGATTCCCACATCCACTCCCTTGCCTAAATCATAGCTTTATTCCATGAAAATTCTACCCACACACATTACCTGATATACTGGAGTGATATGCTCCTCTATAAATCTTATTCTCTCTTGTTCCCTTCTTTCCTAATACACTTCTTTCTTTATCAAGAAGTGAGCAGCAGTGATTAAGTTAATGCCTCATAAAGAGAAATGAAATTCACAATTTTTTCAATCCCATTACCAAGTCATCTATAATTCTAAACTTCTTTCTTCAACTTTCCTCCATAGTGTAGTAAGTAATACTACCTGAGGCTTCAAAACTCACCTTCCAGATATCCTCATCGTCGTCAAAAAAGGCTCGGGACAAAATTTTTCGTTTTTCTTCCGGCGAGATGAAGTTTTCAATTATGAGGGCCTTCAGCTTTAGCTCTCTGAAAAAATAAGAAAATATAATTTTCTCCCATTAGGACAACTGAGGGGCATATGTTCAGTTTATCCCAACATAAGGACATTTTAGTGGAATATTGTAATGAAAACTTAAAACTCAAATTTTTCTTCTCACCTTTCCTTTTCTGTTTTTTTCTTCAATATCCATCCATCCATTTATATTTATATTTCTAAACATCTCTCCATGGGAAAGTGGAGAAGAATCCTTCCTCTATAAGCCATGCATATCCTAAGAGGTGACTAAAATGCCACAAGCAAGGAGCTAGTAACCCTTCTCCAGTATAAATTACTAAATGTAAAATGAGGAAAAACCTTCTTTCTCCTTATTTGGGTCACCCTGCCTCAGTGGAAGATGGAGGTGTTAAAAAAATTTATACATCTACCTTTCTCCCCAAAATAAATAAATCAACCCCTACAACCACATACAGCCTCTCCTCACTTAGAGACGTACTTGTTTACTAATGCCTCGGACTTACGATGGACTCTCTGACCAGTATGCATACATAAAAAATGTAGATTAGAGCTGATTTCCTCTATTCTGTTAATTACAATATACAGCACACTACTGTATAAACATTTAAAAATATACCAGAAATGTTATAAATGGTGCAAAGGTCACATTAAAACTATATCCAATATGGTTGGCACAAACCCACTACCATTATAGTATGCTCCTTACTTAGCAACAAATTCGTTTAACGACATGGTCTTAGGAACGGAACTCCATCGTTAAGTGAGGAGAGGCTGTATAGGCGAACACACATTATACAGGACTCCCTTGCTTTGAAAATTTACTATTATGTGATCCCCCTTTTCCATCTGTAATTATATTTGTGCAGTACACATTTGCCATAAGCAATCAATATGGTTCACAAAGCATATTAAGATTCATATTATACAGAATTACATGTTGATGGTCTGACTGAGCATAGTACAGCAGCCATAGGCTTGAACACATGTGCTGTGTATTATTTTTTTTTAACATACCAGCCATCTCCCACTAAGACAGGATGATCTAAAAGGAAAAAGAAAAGTTTTTCTCTTTACATTTAGTAGTTGATAAAGGAGAAGGGGTTACTAGCCCCTTTACTCCCATGTATTTGAATGGGGTAAATAAGAAATGCAAGAAGCCCTGCACACTTCTTTTTTTTTTAACACATCAGTCGTCTCCCACTGAGGCAGGGTGACCCAAAAATAAAGAAAATCCCCAAAAGGAAAATACTTCATCATCATTCAACACTTTCACCTCGCCCATACATAATCACTGTCTTTACAGAGGCACTCAGATACAACAGTTTAGAAGTCCCTCCAAACAGCCAATATCCCAAATCCCTCCTTTCAAGTGCGGGCATTGTACCTCCTATTTCCAGGACTCAAGTCCGGCTAACCAGTTTCCCTGAATCCCTTCACAAAATAGTACCCTGCTCACACTCCAACAGTTGTCAGGTCCCAAATAACATTCGTCTCCATTCACTCCTATCTAACACGCATGCTTGCTGGAAGTCCAAGCCCCTCACCCACAAAACCTCCTTTTACCCCCTCCCTCCAACTTTTTCGAGGACAACCCCTACTCAGCTTTCCTTCCCCTACAGACTTAAATGTTCTCCAAGTCATTCTACTATGATATATTCTCTCAATGACCAGACAACCTCAACAACCCTTCTTCAGCCTTCTGACTAATACTTTTAGTAACTTCACACCTCCTCCTAATTTCCACACTCCGAATTCTCTGCATAATATTTACACCACACATTGCCCTAAGACAGGGCATCTCCACTGCCTCCAGCCACCTCCTTGCCACAGCATTTGCAACCCAAGCTTCACACCTATATAAGAGTGTTGGTACCATTATACTTTCGTACATTCCCTTCTTTGCCTCCACAGATAAAGTTTTTGGTCTCCATAGATACCTCGATGCACCACTCACCTTTTTTTCTTCATCAATTCTATGATTAACCTCATCCTTCATAAATCCATCTGCTGACAGGTCAACTCCCAAATATCTGAAAACATTTACTTCTTCCATACTCCCGCTCTCCAATGTGATATCCAATTTTTCTTTACCTAAATCGTTTGATACCCTCATCACCATACTCTTATCTTTGTTCACTTTCAACTTTCTACCTTCACACACCTCCCCAAACTCATCCACTAACCTTTGCAACTTTTCTTTAGCATCTCCCACAACCACAGTATCATCAGCATAACGTAACTGCGTCAACTCCCATTTTGTAGATGAATGGTTCAGAGAACCGACATGTTGATAAATTAGACACATGTGCAACTCTTGGGTATCTTTATTGAGGAAACGTTTCGCCACACAGTGGCTTCATCAGTCCATACAAAGGAGAATCTTGAAGAACAGGAGGAGAATGAGGTAATCAGTCCCTCAACCTTGAGTCGATGTGGTCAGTCCATCAATCTTGAATAGAATACGGCATACGTGCTGAGAAGGAGCTTATAAACCGTTGGCAGGAGAGGTGCAGCAGTCATAGGTCGTGTAACATTTGTTCAATGTTGAAGTAGGTCGTGCCCAAGAGTTGCACATGTGTCTAATTTATCAACATGTCGGTTCTCTGAACCATTCATCTACAAACCTGTCAGACACTGCAACTTCTTGGGATCTTAACACTTGGGAATTCTTCGCTTGCCTAATTCTTGGGCACGACCTACTTCCACATTGAACAAATGTTACACGACCTATGACTGCTGCACCTCTCCTGCCAACGGTTTATAAGCTCCTTCTCAGCACGTATGCCGTATTCTATTCAAGATTGATGGACTGACCACATCGACTCAAGGTTGAGGGACTGATTACCTCATTCTCCTCCTGTTCTTCAAGATTCTCCTTTGTATGGACTGATGAAGCCACTGTGTGGCGAAACGTTTCCTCAATAAAGATACCCAAGAGTTGCACATGTGTCTAATTTATCAACTCCCATTTTGTATTTGACTCCCCATAATTTAATCCCACCCCTCTCCCCAACACCCCAGCATTTACTTCTTTTACAACCCAAGGTATAAATACATTAAACAACTATAGTGACTTTACACATCCCTGTCTAAGACCTACTTTTACTGGGAAGTAGTCTCCCTCTCTCCAACACACCCTAACCTGAGCCTCACTATCCTCAAAAATTCTTAAAAGCATTTAGTAACTTACTACCTATTCTATACACTTGCAACATCTGCCATATTGCTCCCCTATCCACTCTATCAAATCTTTCTTTCAACACACCGGCCGTATCCCACCAAGGCATGGTGGCCCAAAAGGAGAAATGCAAGTTTCTCCTTTTACATTTAGTAAATTGTACAGAAGAAGGCGTTACTAGACCCTTGCTCCTGGCATTTTAGTCACCTCTTACAACACGCATAGCTTACAGAGGAAGAATTCTGTTCCACTTACCCATGGAGATAAGAGGAAATAAACAAGAACAAGAACTTGCAGGAAAACAGAAGAAAACCCAAAGGGGTGTGTATATATATGCTTGTACATGCATGTGTAGTGTGACCTAAGTGTAAGTAGAAGTAACAAGACATACCTGAAATCTTGCATGTTTATGAGACAGAAAAAAGATACCAGCAATCCTACCATCATGGAAAACAATTACAGGTTTCCATTTTACACTCACGTGGCAGGACAGTAGTACCTCCCTGGGTGGTTGCTGTCTACCAACCTACTACCTCTACTCTAACATATGCCTTTTCTAAATCCATAAATGCAATGAAAACTTCCCTACCTTTATCTAAATACTGTTCACATATATGCTTTAATGTAAACACTTGATCTACATATCCCTACCTACTCTAAAACCTCCTTGCTCATCTGCAATCCTACTGTCTTACTACATGTTGATAAGCCAAACAGAAGGAAACTAATGTATATTGAGAATTGTGAGTAATTACAAATCCAGCTAAGAATAGGTTCAAGAATGGTATTCCAAATATGAAAGTCAAAACATTAGGGATAACCATCTAAACTATTCTTGTTTGAGCAAATACTGAAATGATTCTAATCTAATCAATGACTTTACCTTGTGAGGACATCTTGAGTGTTTTGGAGATCAACACGATCTCTACAAAACTCTTCATGGAGATCACCCATTTCCTGTTTGACAGATTGCAGCTTAGCAAACAATTTTTTCAGTTTGCGAGTCTTAGCTTCAACCTCCGCTTGCAGTGAGGAAAAAGTTGATGCAATCTCACAGGAAGATTCCTCCTCTTTCTCGAGTAACTGCAGCATCTCTCTCTCTCGTTTCTGTGCAAAAAATCCGAAAAAATTTAATTTTAAATCTTGCATGAAATAAATCTTTCTAGTGAAAAATAACTTCCATAAAAACCCACCACATATACCTGCCAAAGAGTGATCATGGCCAGAAATGGTCTTGTACATGTGAAAAAAAAATTTGGGAGAAATATGAGGGGCACTGATTGTGAAATATGTGGCAAAACATCCCATATATCATGTACAAAGCTTCATGCAACCATGAGAAATGACCTAAAACAAGAAAGTCATTTCTGGATCTGCCCCAGTGAGATGGACAGTTGGTCAGGCATAAGAGAGGTACTGAAAAGTGAAAACCTAGAAAGCATAAGGAAGTTTCTAAGGAGCTTGCCAGAGTTATACAAAGGGTGGAAAACAGGGGATAAGGAACAAGAAAATGAGGAATACTCAAATAGAGGTCAAAACCAAGGAGTGGAAAACGTCATACAGAGCAATTCGGAAATGAATGAAACAGGAATACAAAACACAGCGGAAGGGGAAAGGGAGGAAGAGAAAGCTAGAGCAGGAACAAATGAAAACAAGAAAAGCGAAGAAATTAGCCTAGAAGAAAGTGAACAAGAGAACTCAGATCAGGTGCAGAACTCGGGAAAGACACAAAATCAGTAAATATAGGTAGTCAGAACATTTGCAGATACTATGCAAAAGATATGTGCCTATATAGGTAGTAGGTTGGTAAACAGCAACCACCCAGGGGGGTACTACCGTCCTGCCAAGTGAGTGCACAACGAAAACCTGTAATTGTTTTACATGATGGTAGGATTGCTGGTGTCTTTTGTCTCTCTCATAAACATGCAAGATTTCGGGTATGTCTTGCTACTTCTACTTGCACTTAGGTCACACTACACATACATGCACAAGCATATATATACACACCCCTCTGGGTATTCTTCTATTTTCTTTCTAGTTCTTGTTCTTGTTTATTTCCTCTTATCTCCATGGGGAAGTGGAACAGAATTCTTCCTCTGTAAGCCATGCGTGTTGTAAGAGGCGACTAAAATGCCGGGAGCAAGGGGCTAGTAACCCCTTCTCCCGTATAAATTACTAAATTTAAAAGAGAAACTTGTTTTTCTTTTTGGGCCGGTGTGTTGAAAGAAAGAAAGAATGGGAGAGATTGCTGGAATAAACAACAGAAAATGTGCCAACATGTTGAGGAAAGGAAAGTGTTGCTTCAACAAATAGTGCAGGGACTTCCATCCTGTAATGTGTAAAGCTTCAATGCAGTCCAGAGAATGTTAAGACCCGAGCTGCCCAGACCACCATATAAAAGGAACGCGGCAATACAGAGTTAGCAGAGAAAGGGAAATTGAACAGCAATCTTTTTTAGACAAATGAGAAAAGATCGAACCAAAGGAAGAGAAACAGGGGGAATGGTACAGAGAGGACAGATGGGCAGAAAAATGGGGTGTACCAAACTAGGCATCAGCCCATCAAGGCTGATTAAGCAACCAAATGCAAAGTCAGTACTGGAGAAACCAGGGACTTGTACATGAGGGGACATACCAGGTAGTACATCACCTGTGGTACTGACACACAAAGCAAGACAAAACATCCCAAATGGTAATTCCTGCTTCATATTTGCAAATATTCTGGGTTTGAAATCAAATAAAAATGACTAAATTAGCTATGTCAGTGGGCTCCTAACAGAAACAAATGCCATGTTTGGAGCATTTACAGAAACACATTCAAAGGATGTTTTAGATGGAGAGATAAAGATAGAAAACTACAACATGTATACATGTAATAGAATTAATAGGTCACAAGGAGGATTAGGAATGTATATAAAGGATATTTTCTGTTGCACAGAAGTACTGAACTCTACGAAATGATATAGTAGAAATTCTAGGCATTAAAGTTGAAAATAGGAATTTGGTAATTATCCTAGTATACAAACCACCATCAGCAACTGCTGAGGAATTCACAGATCAGCTAAGGCAGATAGATAGCTATGTGGATAAGCTACAAAATCCCACACCAAATATTTTACTCCTGGGAGATTTTAATCTCCCTCGTGTAAAATGGAAGATTGTGCAACGTAATGTTATACCAGAAATATCTCTGGGAAGCACCCTGGCTCAAGAGGCACTTACCAGGGAATTAATGAGGCTTTGTGAAAAGTACTCATTCAACCAACGAGTAATTGATCCCACTAGAAATGAAAATACCCTGGATTTGATATTCACAAACAACGAGGAACTGATCAGAGACATAACAGTTACAAAAACAATATACTCTGATCATAACATCATAGAAGTTCAAACGAGTATTAACTCCGGGTTAGGGAATTGCGTCACTAATGTTAGAGATGGGATGTTCAGTAAGTTTAATTTTAACAACCATAGAACTGACTGGGAAAAAATAAATCAAGAGCTATCAGACATACCCTGGGAATCAGACATGAGCATCCTAAATCCCCACCACTGCCTAGAGAAACTGAAGAGAGAAATATACATGGTATGTATGAAGCACGTACTATTGAGGAAACCCAGAAGATCAGAGAGAGAGCGTAGGAGATGGTACAGAAGAAGAAAATGGGTTAGTGAATTGCTTAAAAACACAAATATGCTACAACAGAGGAAAGGTAGGCTTAGCCAAGAGATCACTGAATTAGAGCAAAAACTTAGTACAGTGGATCCCCCGCATAACGATTACCTCCGAATGTGACCAATTATGTAAGTGTATTTATGTAAGTGCGTTTGTACTTGTATGTTTGGGGGTCTGAAATGGACTAATCTACTTCACAATATTTCTTATGGGAACAAATTCGGTCAGTACTGGCACCTGAACATATTTCTAGAGTGAAAAAATATCGTTAACCGGGGGTCCACTGTATGTCATACCTCACAGTAGTAGTACAAAGGTAATAAAGGGCCATATAGGATATTGCAAGAAACCCAAAATATTTCTGTTCCTATGCAAAATCCAAGTTAAGAACTACCTGTAGAATTGGACCACTACTGAGAGGAGATTCGTATACTGACGATGAACAGGAAATGAGTGAAATCCTTAAAGAACAGTATGAGTCAGTGTTCAGCAACCCACTAAATGACAGCAAGACAGAAAATGCAGAAATAATTTTCACTCCAGAAGAAGGCCGAGCAGACCAACTGAATGACATTAGTACAAATCCCATAGTTTTCAAAAAAGAAATGGACAACATGCCTACTCACTCAGCACTTGGACCAGATTTATGAAATGCTCTATTTATAAAGAAGTGCAAAGTACCACTAGCACGAGCCCTCAGTATTCTTTGAAGAGCTTATACCTAGGTGAAATACCGGAGGCCTTAAAGAGTGCAGACATAGATCCTTTGCATAATGGAGGTAGGTAGTAGAGCACTAGCTAAAAATTACATACCAGTAGTCCTAACCTCTCGCATCATAAAAATCTTCGAAAGAGTGATGAGATGGCAAATTACAAATTTCATGGACCAGCACAACCAGCATAACCCGAACCAGCATGGCTTTAGAGCAGGACAATCATGCCTGTCACAGCTGCTGACCCATTATGACAGAATTACAGACGCACTGGAAGATGACCAAAATGCAGATGTGATTTACACAGATTTTGCAAAGAAGTTTGACAAATGTGATCATGGAGTGATAGCACACAAAATGAGGTCTATGGGCATTACGGGGAAGGTAGGCAGATGGATTTTCGGGTTCCTAACACACAGAACACAAAAAATAGTAGTGAACAGGGCAAGACCCAGCATCAGCAAGGTCAAAAGCTCAGTTCCCCAAGGCACTGTCCTGACACCTCTGCTGTTTCTCATCCTCACAGCAGACATAGATATAAACATCTGGCACACTTCTATATCATCATTTGCAGATGACACTAAAATAAGCATGAAAGTCACTGTGGTAGAAGACACTGAAAAATTACAGGAAGACATAAACAAGGTTTTCCAGTGGAGAGTGGAGAACAATATAACATTCAATGGTGATAAGTTCCAGCTGCTTAGGTATGGAAAGAATGAAGAACTCAAAAGGAACACTATATACAAAACTCAAGAGGGTCACCAAACAGAACTTAAGAAACATGTAAAAGACCTGGGAATAATTATGTCAGTGGACCTTTCTTTTAAAGACCATAACAAGACAAAGATCACAACAGCCAGGAAGATGACAGGGTGAGCATTGAGAACTTTCAAAACAAAGGAAATAATGCTGATGGTGACACTCTTCAAATCGCTAGTGCTCCTCACTTAGAATATTGCTCAGTGCTGAGGAACCCGTTCAAAGCAGGAGAAATATCAGAGCTGGAACAAATACAGAGATCATTTATGACTCGAACTGAGCCTGTAAAGCACCTAAACTACTGGGAATGCCTGCAAGTCTTGAACATGTATTCATTGGAGTGGAGGAGAGAGAGATACATGACAATATATACCTGGAAAGCACTCAAGGGCCTGGTCCCAAATCTGCACGCTGCCATAACATACTGGAGTGAGAGATGTGGGAGAAAGTGTAAAATAAACCCAGTGAGGAGCAGGGGTGCGGTGGGGACAATAAGGGAACACTGTATCAACGTCCTGGGTCCCAGACTTTTCAACAGGTATATGAAAGGTATATTAACATCTAATACACATCATAGCAATCTGATTCATGCCTCTCCTCCTCTTTCCCCTGATACTTCCTATCTTCTCCATTACCTACTCCTGCTCTCTCCAATACAATGGTCAAGCAGGCTGTTGCCTTTCAGACATACTTGAAGATCATTAGAGAAGTGATTATATAACCGACACTAACAATACACTTGTGTATCACCATACCCCATAGGAATGTTGGCATGGGCCCCACTGTAACCACAAATTCAGGTTTTTACAGATTAATCCCACACCAGTGTGGCAGTTGTGTGCTCTAGCCCAAGTCCCCACAAAGTCACAAACATGATTCATGAAACTGTAATAACATGATTGCAAATAAATCACAGAACAGATGGGGCTTAAACCCATGGCAGGCAAGTCCTAAAATTGCTATGGTGTATTAAAATATACCTAACTGAATGAATCTTGTTAGGCTGGCATGGACCAGTAGTTAAGCACACTGGCTTGAGTTTTAGATCTTGCCTACTGCAGATTCAAGCCCTGTCCGTTCCATGATTTGTTTGCAATAGTGTTATTATGATTTACCAATTCATGAAAGCATATTATTTCTCTCTCTTCAGCCTTCTTAGATGCCATCTTTGTGAATCGGCCTTCTACATATCCCCAACATGAATCTTAGCATACTGACAAATGCTCTAATCTCCAAAATACACATGACTTGACCTGAGCCTGGGGTTTCTTACTACATCACCTTGTGTGTTTTCTTGTTTTCTAGCATTTATCTTTTACATATGACTGGATAATGGCACAGGACATCATCACAAGTTTCCTTTCCAAATTTTGAATTAAAGTGAATTGTTCCTGCCATGGTTTTGTGACTTTTATTTTTCAATTTATAACCGTTCTTGTCTCTCCAAAACTGTTCCTTCAGCAGCACTGCTACTCCTCCTCTAACTCTTGTTCTTACAGGTACACCTGGCTTAATTCCTTAAATTTCTCTTAAGTCAACTTATCCATTGATGCTCTCTCTGTTTCAGTTAGTGCTGACATCCAACTCCTTTATATATATAACTAACAATCAACTTTTAAAATCAATATATATACATTAAGACCCAAAGGACACAAATTCACCATCATATGTTCCATGGCTATCTTTTTAAAAGTGCCATCTACAGACCCTTCAAGGAAGGTACTTTGATGCTGGTGGAAGAATCATAACCTAAGGAATTCAAGCTACTCTTCCCTTCCTCAGATCAAACCCAAGTTTCTCCCACTCCCCAACTGTTATATGATCTTTGAGCATTTAGAAACTGTGGCTTAACATGCACTGAGGTTTTAACAGACATTAACAAACTATGTCAAAGCCCAGAAACCCTTCACCTCTACTCCAATCTAAAACATACACACAGTGCCTGCTGCATACTCAAGGCTCTACCTTTCAATACCTCATTCTAACAGTATAAACACTATCAGCACTGTAAACGCAGTATAAACATTAAAATAAAAATAATTGATACCTAACCTAAACAAGACACGCATACCTTTTGATCCATGAGCTCTTGAGTTCGCTGCTGTAGTGCTCTCTGCTGCTCATTAGTATGGTCTATGATGTTCTTGCCACCAGAGAGGAGCTTCGACTCCATGGTTTGTATGCGAGTCATTAGTTTCTCTTGAGCCTCTCTAGTTGCTATCAGCTCTGCTTCTTTATTTTTTAGCTCCAATAGGAATCGCTCTTTTTCCTAGAAATAAAAGATTTAATAGGGTAAGCAAGCTAATTATTGAAGGATAGTTATAAACAGGAGGGCTCCACTTTACAGCAATTCACTAATAAGGACATTGCAAAATTATGACCAAGATTCATTTACACGGCTCCCCAATTGACTATTATGGCGTCCATGCACCACAGTTTGTTTATCCTCTGTAAACTCCACATTTCTGGATTATGCCTGGAAATGTTTCAAAACTTCAAATGTTTTAAAGTTATTGCATATTTTATATACAACCTCTCCTCACTTAATGACGGAGTTCTGCTCCTAAGACCACGTCGGTAAATGAATTCGCCGCTAAGTGAGGAGCATACTATAATGGTTTGTGTCACCCATCTTTGATGATGTTTTAATGTCACCTTTGCACCATTTATAATATTTCTGGTATATTTTTAAATGTTTATACAGGAGGCCTGGTCACAGACCGGGCCACGGGGGCGTTGATCCCCAAAACTCTCTCCAGGTAAACTCCAGTAGTGTACTGTATACTGTAATAAACAGAATAGAGGAAATCAGCTCTAATATCTATTCGGGTATGCATACTAGTCAGAGAGCCTGTCATAAGTCCGAGGCGTCGGTAAACAAGTACATCGCTAAGTGAGGAAAGGTTGTTTTATGTATAGGTGTGGTAGTCAAGCGGGTTACCACACCCGACTTCCTACAATAAATATTACTCACCCCTCATCCTACATTAGGACTGCAAATATTTTAAAGTAAGTAATGAGTGTACTGTATGTGTATTCTACTTTATTGTTTTTAATGTAATTCAATATATGATAATGTAAAAATGTTATTAGGCATTTATATGCATTTATGAGCGAAAAAAGTGTGACTTGCTTTACAGCGATTTCTGCTTTACGGTGGTAGCCTGGAATCTAACCCGCCATATAAGTGTGGCCCTCCTGTATACAGTAAACCCACACACAGGAGAGAGGAAGTCATGATAATGTTTCGGTCCAACTTTGACTATTTATAAAGTCATACTAACAGAGAAGTGAGGTAGCCATTATATACAGGACAGTGAGGCAAAGACAGGAACAAGAAAAGAAGGAAACTAGGCTATCCAAATGGCTAAACACGTTTAAGCTCTTTCACCCCTCTATAGTTATTATTATTATTCAACCGGACATGTACATCCCTGTCTACCTAATTTCCGGGAAGTTTACCCAAGTTTTGTCTAAATAAACCTGGCCGTATCCCCCAAAGGCTCTTGCCAAAAAAAATAATTTCTCTAATATTTTTTAGTAATATATACAGAGAAAGAGGTTACAGCACTATTTTCCCGGATAATAAGCACTCTTAAACTGCATGGCTTAAAAGAAATTTGTGTTCCACTTTCAGGAAATTTGTTAGGGAAACAATATCAACTTAGTTATATCAGCACAATTCAGTGGTGTTTTTATTTTTTTCAATGGGTCTCACCCAGGGTGACCAAGAAGTGCAAGAGAAACCCAAAAAACTTAGCTGTTCATCAAAACACTCCAGCTCCACACTAACATTACAGTTTTTGCATTTTACATTCAATAACGTAAGACTACCATATAAGACACAAATGCCAAAGCCTAATTTCAACCCTTCTGTTAGATTGCAGGTGTTTTCCTTTCCCTAGACTCAAGTCCGTTTAATAAGTTTGCTCCCTCACTTACAATATAGTCACACTACACATCCAACAATGCAGGTACAAGACCAATTCACCATTCCCTATTCTGGCACCAGAAAGCAATCAAGGAAGCCAACGCCTACCCAAAACTGCTTTTAACCCCTCTCTCCAACCCTTTCGAGGACGACCCCTACCCCGCCTTCCTTCCCCTTTAGATTTATATGCTTTCCATGTCATTCTACTTTGATCCATTCTCTCTAAATGACCAAACCACCTCAACAACCCCTCTTCTACCCTCTGACTAATACTTTTATTAACTCCACACCTTCTCCTAATTTCCACACTCCGAATTTTCTGCATAATATTTACACCACACATTGCCCTTAAACAGGACATCTCCACTGCCTCCAACCGTCTCCTCGCTGCTGCATTTACCACCCAAGCTTCACACCCATATAAGAGTGTTGGTACTACTATACTTCATACATTCCCTTCTTTGCCTCCAGAGATAACGTTTTTTGACTCCACATATACCTCAACGCACCACTCACCTTTTTTCCCTCATCAATTCTATGATTAACCTCATCCTTCATAAATCCATCCGCCGACACGTCAACTCCCAAGTATCTGAAAACATTCACTTCTTCCATACTCCTCCTCCCCAATTTGATATCCAATTTTCTTTATCTAAATCATTTGACACCCCCATCACCTTACTCTTTTTCTATGCTCACTTTCAACTTTCTACCTTTACACACATTCCCAAACTCATCCACTAACCTTTGCAATTTTTCTTTAGAATCTCCCATAAGCACAGTATCATCAGGGAAAAAGTAACTGTGTCCCAAATTCCCATTTTGAATTTGATTCCCCATAATTTAATCCCACCCCTCTCCCAAACACCCTAGCATTTACTTCCTTTACAACCCCATCTATAAATATATTAAACAACCATGGTGACATTACACATCCCTGTCTAAGACCTACTTTTACCGGGAAGTAGTCTCCCTCTCTTCTACACACCCTAACCTGAGCCTCACTATCCTCATAAAAACTCTTTACAGCATTTAATAACTTACCACCTATTCCATATACTTGCAACATCTGCCACATTGCTCCTCTATCCACTATCATATGCCTTTTCTAAATCCATAAATGCAATAAAAACTTCCCTATCTTTATCTAAATACTGTTCACATATATGCTTCAATGTAAACACCTGATCTACACATCCCCTACCCACTCTAAAACCTCCTTGCTCATCCGCAATCCTACATTCTGTCTTGCATCTAATTCTTTCAATTATAACCCTACCGTACACTTTTCCTGGTATACTCAGTAAGCTTATTCCTCTATAATTTTTAGTCTCTAATATGACATAATAAACAATATTAATAACATAAAAACATGACAAATACTTTAGAACGAATAAAATATGTCCTATATCTCTCCCCCAATCGATGAGTGTTGGTGTGTTGTTTGCTGTTGGGTGTATAAGGGCCACTTGAAAGATAAGCCTTACATAGCAGTGGTGATGGCAGCAGCAGAGACAGTGGAGTTGTCAGTCGCCCTATATAACTCCAACAACATTGGAAGAGTCAGTTTCATGCTGCCCTTTTTCTATCGATTAATCTCTTAACTTACTTGCTACACTGTTAATGCTACACTTTATCACTGGCTGGCGCTATAGCCTTGATCGACTCATGCTGCTTTAGTATCGTATATATTGTAGAATCACTGAAGAAGGCACATTCTCCCCTCTCTCTTCCTCCTCCACTTTGGTACTTTTCTACAATATCTTTCTTCAATTCTATCATGTTTCTCACTTTCTTTACCAAAGGGCTGCCACTATGAAGTTTCTTTGAGCCCATGGTGGCTTATTTCACAGTCACAATCAATAAAGAAGCACTAAACACAATGAATTTATTGTGAAATGTTTGGATGAGCACGCAAGGTAATGTTCCCTCAAGGATAAACAAAGCTAGACTGGCTCACGATGCCTGTGCGGGCAGGCACGCAGATGCAGGCAGGCAGACAGGTTTGGTACGCCGGATGAAACTCAGGACAAAATGTAGCCGGAAAAAAGTGGTAGAAACTCGAAGCAGCTGATACTCAGGGCGGCCAAAACTCGGAGTTCCACTGTATATGAAAGAAACCATTTACTCGATTGTACAATATCAAAGACACTATTTTTTTCTTCAAAATAAGTCTCAAAAACTTACCCAGCACCTTGGTGGCCAAAGTACTGATTATCATTTTTTTTCCAAAATTTAGCCAATCAGAAATGGGAGATATCTTCGACACCAGACTGTTGTGTTCGCCGTAAAATACGATACTCTACACAACGTACACAAATAAATACTACAGTGGTGTACACATTGGGACATGTGCTGTTGTGAGGCAAATTTGTGCCACTATAGTGCTGTTTGGAGATATGACATTAGCAGTTATCTCTAAATACAGCCTCTCCTCACTTAGCAACGTACTCATTTACTGATGACTCAGACTTACAATGGGCTCTCTGACCAGTGTGCATACCTAAGTAATGTATATCAGAGCTGTTTTCCTCTATTCTATTTCAATATATAGTACACTCTTGTATAAACATTTAAAAATATACCAGAAATGTTATAAATGGTGCAAAGGTGACATTAAAACAATATCAAAGATGGTTGACACAAACCCACTACCTTTATTGTATGCTCCTCCCCTCGTCCCCCAACAAGTGTTCAATTGTGACGAAACAGGCCACTTTTGAAAGAAAATGCCAGAGGACTGACATCATGCAGGAAGAAACAGCATTCCCAGGACACAAGCCTATGAAAGACAAGCTAACTCATGCCCTGTGGTAATGTGTCTGGGGATTTCAAAGCGAAGACTTTACTAGTGTATCACTCTGAAAATCCCAGAGTGTTCAAGAAATACAGTGTTGCCAAGAATAAATTGTGTGTGATGTAGAAGGCTAACAGTAAGGCACGGGTCACAAGGGAAATTTTCCTCGATTGGTTCAATGAAGTGGTCCGAGTGTGAAATACATCCTGAAAAAAAAAATTACCACTCAAGTGCCTCATGGTAATGGACAATGCTCCTGCTCATCCTCCAGGCTTGGATAACCAAATGGTGGACGAGTTTAGTTTCATCACAGTGAAGTTCTTGCCCCCTAATACCACTCCTTTCATCCAGTCCATGGACCAGCAGATCATTTCAAACTTCAAAATACTCTACACCAAAGCAATGTTTCAAAGGTGCTTTGATGTGACCTCAGACACTCAACTGACCCTAAGACAGTTCAGGAAAGATCACTTCAATATCCTCCATTGTAGATAAGGCTTGACAGGGAGTGACTTCCAGGACTCTGAACTCTGCCTGGAAAAAATTGTGGCCAGATTGTGTTCTCGACAAAGATTTTGAAGGGTTTGAGGCTGACCCTGACAACCCTATGCCAGTTGTGGAATCTATTGTGGCACTGGGGAATTCCATGGGGTTGGATGTGAGTGGCCAGGGTGTGGAAGAGTTGGTGGAGGACCACAGTGAAGAGCTAACCAATGAAAAGCTGCAAGACCTTCATCTGCAACAGCAACAGACCCCAGCTCAGGAAACTGCTTCAGAGGAGGAGGAAGAGAAATGGAAGAAGGTGCCTTCTTCAAAGTTTAAGGACATTTGTGCAAAGCAGAGTGAGGTGCAAATGTTTATGGAGGAATATCACCCTGACAAAGCTGTTGCAAGCCATGTCGGCAACATGTATAATGACAATGTATTGTCCCATTTGAGGCAAATTTTAAAGAGACGACAGAAACAGAGTTATCTGGAACAATTTTTTGAGCGATGGGGGTCCAGTGACTCAAGCTGGTCACTAGTGGCATTAAAAAACAAAGGGAATTAACCCCAAATAAGGACTTGGTACCTAATGCCTTTATGGAAGGAGATTTCCCTTCCGAACAATAATGTAACAATAATGTTTTCTGTATGTAAATCTATAATGTAAAAAAAATATTTTTTGTTAATACTTTTGGGTGTCTGGAACAGATTAATTGGATTATTATTATTTCTTATGGGGAAAATGGTTTCGCCACTCGTAAATTTCAACTTACATCACACTCTCTGGAAAGGATTAATTACAAAATTCGAGGATCCACTGTACTTTAAAGTACAGTATTTGAAATGTGTGGAGCCTAGATACAGCAACCAAATTAAGGATAGGAAACTGCCCAAGGAGTAAGATACCAAAGATTTGTATATACAGAATTATTCTTCTTCTACTTTCAACAAATCGGCCGTATCCCACTGATGCAGGGTGTCCCAAAAGAAAAACAAAAGCTTCTCTTTTTAACTTTTGTAATGTATACATAAGAAATGAATACTAGCCCCTTGCTCCTGGCATTTTAGTCGCCTCTTATGACATGCATGGTTTACAGAGGAAGAATTCATATACAGAATTAACAACATTAAAAAATTTAACCAAGTTTCTAACCTCTTCAATCATATGCTGATCATTGAGGATGCGATTCCTCTCTTCATCCAGTTCATGCTGCTGCTGTAGTATGCTCTCCTCATCAATGCCCTCTTCATCTTCTTCCTCTTCCCCTTCCCCTTCATCTCCATCCACACGCTTTTTTTTCTTTTTCTTCTTCCCTCCTCTTTGTGTGAGTTGTGCCTATAAAATACCATACCACAATGAAAGCATAAAAAAGAGAAAAGCAATAAAATGTTGAAATTAAAGCAACAAAGTGCTGTTGCACCCCTAATGAGAATACTATGCAATAAAATACATCAAAGAAAAGAAGGAAACTTCATCCACCTATTGAGTAACTGGTCACCAAAATCAGAAATAGACGAATATTCAGTCATTATTCTGCGGTGACTAACATCCTTGCTTCTGATTTTTGCTCATTAAGAAATGCAAGGGAAAATTAGATGGAGTTGGCATTATCCTAATGGATCCCAAGGAACAGAACATTAGGTAGGGAAGGGTTCACTACTCTACACTCAAAGCTTTACGTGCTGTTTACACAAGCCTCGGGTCTCCTCCTCACTAGTTTGCACTACTGCACTAGCTAGCACACTGCAACATTGAAACTAATCACTACAAACTTTTAAACTGAGCCACTGAGGGCATGGAAACCTTATTACAATGGACCCTTAGATTACTGTATGTAGTTACATACAACAGGGAGACTAAGATTACTGGTGATGCTACTGATCCTAATATGCCATACACAATTTCTTTATATTTATACATTTAATATCTATTGTTGAACTATAAAAGGCATATCATTACACTCAGAAAAGTAATACAAAAGTACTGTAATCACTACAGTGAAGCACAATAAATTCCTACTCTGTTTTTGGCAAAAAATCACACTCCAAATTTTCACACCATGCAATATTAATAATAAATTTTACAGCCACAAAAAAATCCATGCACTGAATTAACTCCTGAAACATCAGCTCTTATTTTCTTTTATACACCAACCATCTCCCACTAAGGTAGTGATATAATAAAAAAAAATAACATTCACAATCACTCATTCAATAATCGTCTTGACACGAGTGCAAAGAAGTCACAATTCAATGAACATCCAAGCTGCAACACCCTCATCCATTTTTCAGCCAAATGCTTTGCATAAAACAAAATAGTTTAACCCCTTGACTGTCGCAACCCCAAATCCTGAGGTGTCTCCTGGTGTTGAAAAATTTAAAAAAAAAAAATTATTTTTTCTTATGAAATGATAGAGAATCTTTTCCCAATTGTAATGACACCAAAAGAATGAAATTTGATGGAAAACTGACGGAATTACACTCGTGAAGTTAGCGACCTCTGCGATATTTATGAATCAGCAATTTCGCCCACTTTGAGCCCTATTTTCAGCTAATTCCATTGTTCCAGTTGACCAAACTCATAGCTATTTCTTTAGAACTCCATTTGTTCTATCGACTGAGTACAAGAAACTGCCCATTTACTGATTTCAACTACCCAATAACGTGGTCAGAAATTTGCAATTTTCTTTGTTCATCAATCACATCTCCAGGCCCCTCTGATATTACTCTTGCTTTCTATTTTGAATTTTTATTCAAACAAAAAATTGAAGATTTACTGTTATGCAGACTACTGCAATTCTTGTAATAATTGTATAAATAATGTCAACCTATTCATGACTGCCTATTAGAATGGCTACTTGGACATTTATTGGAAAATGACATCATTTGTTTACTTTTGAACATCAGCAAAAATCAAACATTTCCCCTACTCTGAGCTCCATTTCAAGGTTCTTTTCATAGTAAAACCAATCAAAATCACCTTTATTTCTATAATATGTTTTCCACTCTATCAAATGAGACCAAGAAAATGAGAATACAACCATAAATACTACATGAAAATAGACCACAAAGTCAGCGTTTTAATTAAAAAAAAAAAAGTCGGAGTTTTTTTTCTCTTCATGCACTGCGTACTGCAGGATTTTTTTTATATGGTGCACACTGACCACACAAACCCATTGTCTCACATGTAGGCCTACCAGCTTTCTCCTGCTTGATTTGAAGCCACTAGAATTTATGAGCATATACACGTCAAAAACAGTGGCTCGTAAGACGTATATATACGGCCAAAACAGTCAAAGGGTTAATACATAATGTCTTAAAATACATCATTATTGAAGAATTGAGACACTTAGGCAACATATGGGAATCTTTATTGAAGAAACGTTTCACCACACAGTGGCTTCATCAGTCCAGTACGAAGCAGGAAGGTATAAGGAGAGGAGGAGTTGCGGTAATCAGTCCCTCAGCCTGGAATCGATGTGTTCAGTCCATCACTCCTGTAGTGATGGACTGAACACAAGGGGAACACAAGGGGAAAAAATATTCCAAGAAAATAAGGGGAAAAAATATCGATGTGTTCAGTCCACCTCTCTTGTAGCGATGGACGGAACACGTCGATTCCAGGCTGAGGGACTGATTACCTCATCTCCTCCTCTCTTTATACCTTCCTGCTTTGTACTGGACTGATGAAGCCACTGTGTGGCGAAACGTTTCTTCAATAAAGACTCCCATATGTTGCACAAGTGTCTCAATTCTTCAAGCTGTCGGTTTTCAAAATCATTTATTACACCATTATATTCTTGGAATATTTTTTCCCCTTATTACTTTCTTGGAATATTTTTTCCCAACATTATTTTCTTGGGATATTTTTTTCCCTTATTTTGTAATAAAGTTGGTAGAATTACCGACAATATGTAAAGTAAAAGGACACAAGTGCAACTAATGTGATATTTTATTGTGGCAACGTTTCGCTCTCCAGGAGCTTTATCAAGCCATTACAAACAATACATGGACACAGAGGGTATATAAAGGCTCAGAGTGAGGTGAATACTAGTGAGGTACCATTTCGATGTTCACTAGTGGTAGTGGTAGTAGTAGTAGTAGTGACAAAAATAATACAATATGGTAGAGCAATTAATTCGTACATGAGTAAAAGGATATAAAAGCTATTACTTGGGTAACATAAAAATAGGTTGGACAAATATAGACTGGAAAGAGGCAGGTAGTTTCAGTGTTCACTCTCTGTAATGTGCTTTGTGTAGTATAACAGGAGAGACTATGTGATGTCTTAGCAAGAACCCTCATGAAAACGGTAAACCCTGCCATCACATAGTCTCTCCTGTTATACTACACAAAACACATTACAGAGAGTGAACACTGAAACTACCTGCCTCTTTCCAGTCTACATTTGTCCAACCTATTTTTATGTTACCCAAGTAATAGCTTTTATATCCTTTTACTCATGTACGAATTAATTGCTCTACCATATTGTATTATTTTTGTCACTACTACTACTACTACTACCACTAGTGAACATCGAAATGGTACCTCACTAGTATTGCACCTCACTCTGAGCCTTTATATACCCTCTGTGTCCGCATATTGTTTGTAATGGCTTGATAAAGCTCCTGGAGAGCGAAACGTTGCCACAATAAAATATCACATTAGTTGCACTTGTGTCCTTTTACTTCCCTTATTTTCTTGGGATTTTTTACACTTATCATTTTCTTGGAATATTTTTCCCTTATTTTCTTGGAATTGGGATTGATGGGATAAAGATAGAAATGTTAAAAGCAGGTGGGGATATAGTTTTGGAGTGGTTGGTGCAATTATTTAATAAATGTATGGAAGAGGGTAAGGTACCTAGGGATTGGCAGAGAGCATGCATAGTTCCTTTGTATAAAGGCAAAGGGGATAAAAGAGAGTGCAAAAATTATAGGGGGATAAGTCTGTCGAGTGTACCTGGTAAAGTGTATGGTAGAGTTATAATTGAAAGAATTAAGAGTAAGACAGAGAATAGGATAGCAGATGAACAAGGAGGCTTTAGGAAAGGTAGGGGGTGTGTGGACCAGGTGTTTACAGTGAAATATATAAGTGAACAGTATTTAGATAAGGCTAAAGAGGTCTCTGTGGCATTTATGGATTTGGAAAAGGCGTATGACAGGGTGGATAGGGGGGCAATGTGGCAGATGTTGCAAGTGTATGGTGTAGGAGGTAGGTTACTGAAAGCAGTGAAGAGTTTTTACGAGGATAGTGAGGCTCAAGTTAGAGTATGTAGGAAGAGGGAAATTTTTTCCCAGTAAAAGTAGGCCTTAGACAAGGATGTGTGATGTCACCGTGGTTGTTCAATATATTTATAGATGGGGTTTTAAGAGAAGTAAATGCGAGGGTCTTGGCAAGAGGCGTGGAGTTAAAAGATAAAGAATCACACACAAAGTGGGAGTTGTCACAGCTGCTCTTTGCTGATGACACTGTGCTCTTGGGAGATTCTGAAGAGAAGCTGCAGAGATTGGTGGATGAATTTGGTAGGGTGTGCAAAAGAAGAAAATTGAAGGTGAATACAGGAAAGAGTAAGGTTATGAGGATAACAAAAAGATTAGGTGATGAAAGATTGAATATCAGATTGGAGGGAGAGAGTATGGAGGAGGGGGAACGTATTCAATATTTGGGAGTGGAGTGTCAAGCGGATGGGTCTATGAAGAAGTGAGGTGAATCTTTGAATTGATGATGGAAAAAGAGTGAGGGGTGCACTTAGGGGTCTGTGGGAACAAAGAACTTTGTCCTTGGAGCAAAGAGGGGAATGTATGAGAGTATAGTTTTACCAACGCTCTTATATTGGTGTGAAGCGTGGGTGATGAATGTTGCAGCGAGGAAAGGCTGGAGGCAGTGGGATGTCATGTCTGAGGGCAATGTGTGGTGTGAATAATGCAGAGAATTCGTAGTTTGGAAGTTAGGAGGAGGGGCGGGATTACCAAAACTGTTGTCCAGAGGGCTGAGGAAGGGTTGTTGAGGTGGTTCGGACATGTAAGGGGAATGGAGCGAAAAAAGAATGACTTCAAGAGTGTATCAGTCTGTAGTGGAAGGAAGGCGGGTAGGGTCGGCCTAGGAAGGGTTGGAGGGAGGGGTAAAGGAGGTTTTGTGTGTGAGGGGCTTGGACTTCCAGCAGGCATGCGTGAGCGTGTTTGATAGGAGGGAATGGAGACAAATGGTTTTTAATACTTGACGTGCTGTTGGAGTGTGAGCAAAGTAACATTTATGAAAGGATCAGGGAAACCGGCAGGCCGGACTTGAGTCCTGGAGATGGGAAGTACAGTGCCTGCACTCTGAAGGAGGGGT